CAATCATAAGTCAAAAGAAAAGTTAAAACGATGACTAACTTTATAGAAGTAGGGCTAATGCTACATCAGTGTATAGATAATAATCGTAGCATTGCTAGACATTTTTAAGGCCCGAAATTGATTGGCTTATTGGAAGGTTTTCCATGGATCCAATATTTGAGCCCATTTTCGACTTCAGTGAGAATATGGCCGGCCATCCTTGTTAGTTGCTGATATGGCTCATTCGTTTCTTTATTTTAGTTGGCTTTTCGAAACCTCAGACCTATTTTGACGAAATGCTACGTCAAGAGTCTGTAAGTTCTATAGCACTGTCTTATTTCTCAGGAGTTTGATACTTTTAGAATCCTTCGTAGCATCTTTGGGGACAAGTTTCCCTTTTCCACCGACCTGTTTCCGGATAACCTACCAAGACCATATTGGAGGACCCCAAGATACATTACTCCGGTAAGTTCGAACAATAGTTGTTCCTTGTGCAAGCGAATAAACACTGCTTACTATCAATCTTCTCATTTTCAAAGGTATATCCGAAAAAGGACTTTACTCCTTTTCCTAGTGACTTGTTTTCGGACAGCTTTCTTAGGCCATTTTGGATGGCACCAGGCTATACTACTCCAGTAAGCGTCATTAGTTGTCGTTTTTCGCCAAAACGCATATTTCGCTCAAACCATATCCTTTTAAAGGTGCATCCAAGGAGAGATTATATTCTTGATCAAGAACCCGGACCATCCCTCTCTGACTCATTCCGTTCGTCTTCAACATATTTTTCCGACTCAAATGGCCAACACGTAAGCCCCTCCCAGCTCTTATTGACTGTTCCACTTTGCCCCTGTACCATTTGTATGCACCTCTTATCGACGCTGACTTGTTTTTCATAACTTTTTAAGCCGTCCCCATATCCACTCCTACACTGTTTCTTCCATTTTCTGGCGAATTTATCCTCATTTCTTGGTGTGTTCACTTACCTTCCTTTTAGTACGAATCAATCAAATCTTCCATTAAACGTCAAGACGGGGTGATAATTAACAAGGAGATAGTGCGAAAGAATGGCCGAGAGGTGACCACCACAACTACGCTCTACCCCGATGGTCGCCAAGAGTCTAAGACCGAAACAAACGAAAACAGTGAGTTTTAACAGCACCACGCATTCTATGTCTACACTTCCTCCCCACAACATTTTTGCGTTCTCAAAGCAGTGCTAGCTGATACCCCTTCCGGCTTCTTGCCTCCCGCCGAAAACATCTTCAGAGAAGACGATACCTTCCCAAATCTCCGTCGCTGGTTTGGGTTCTGAGGTCACCTGATTGATTTTTTTTTCTGCCATTTGACATAAATAGCTGCTCTGCAGAAATGTTTCTTTGCATTTACGGTAGTGTATCAACAGTCGGTTGGGAGGTGTCATTTTTGGAGTGGGGCGTAGTTGAGTAACTTCTCAATGAGATCGACGTGTGAGAGAATCATACGCCGGCAGCAGTAGCGTCGGAGTCCGAGAGTGTCCAGAGCATCACCCTCCGCGTACTCCGCCTGCAGGAGGACGATATAAGACTCCCATTTGTCACCCACAACTTTGCCACACGTAAAACAACGGATTGGAATTATCATGTCTGAAGGGTAAAAAGGAATTCAATTTTATCGTGATATCAAACACTGAAACAGCACATCGAAACTAAACTAGAGCCCAGAGGTACGTCCGCGTGATTTTCGTTGTTCAGGACCAAGGCCGCTCACAATGAGATTCGTAAAATACTTGAACACAAAGCAAATAAGAAAGGGAAAATCGGACACAGAGTATATTCGAGAATAGTACAGATTGGGCATTTCACGGACTGGAGTGCGGATGGGGTTCGTGTTTCTTGTGAGTCTTCAACGACCAACTTGGAGACTCCTACCAAAAAACCTATCCCCCAAATGAATGTTCATAGTTCAATTGATTACAACCCAGTTGGAATGACAATCACTTTGCTGGAGAAGTGAAACCTCCGCGAACCGCGGTGTACGCTGATTCTGCCCCACAGTAGAGTCTATCGGTCCTCGGAAATGCAAAGGACTGTACTGAAGTCATTTGCACTTAAGAAAAGTGCTGTATGCGAGCAAGACAAAACCGAGGAATCGTCAAAACCAAAATACCTCTTGAACAAAACATGCAGGCTACAAGATTATCATAAACACCACACAAGGTGGCGTCCATGAACAAAACGTCAGATCAGCGTCGATGAAGAAACAAACGTAAGAACAAAATCCCATCTAGGGAGACCTAAAATTCGATGAATGTTTTCAAAAACCACAACATCATCAACACCCACATGCCTCGAGGGATGACGGACCTACGAGTGAATGTAAAGATGGAAAACTAGAGAGATGAAGATGTAATGAATAGATTGTCATAAAGTAGGAAGAGGGCACTTGTGTTTGAGCAAAAAAAAAAGACCTAGTGGGACCAGATCAAAAGTTCCAGAAACAAATGAGAGAGGTGAGACAGTCAGTGCAGAGCTTTCAAGGAAGTCAATTGATCGAAGAAGTATGCAAAGCAGTATGAGAAGAACGGGGTTTGCAAATGATCGTCACAGCAAGTACAGCAAGTAACATTCCCAGACTGCTTAAGAATAACCGATTGTGGGTGGATGAACATGAGAACAAACTCATCCCCAACATTCCTGAGGCTCCTGCAGAAAGTAGATAATCAGTTGAAGACGCGAAAATCGAAACAATTACCCCTTGATAAAACGTGTTCAAATCAATGAGACCAGGAATTAGCTGTAACTCATTGATACTGAGTGAAGTAATTCCCACAGAACATATTTAACAGGATCTAAATATCTAATCAGAAACGATCCCCATTTCCTCAGGAATAAGACTCCTGATGTGAGCGAACAAACATGAGAGCAGCCACTCCGACAGATCGAACCTATTTAAGGAAAGCACTACAACTAGCACAGTCAAACACAAAAGAAACAGTGAAAACGAAACTTTAGTAGAATATATTAAAAGGTTCAAACTTGCCTCCTAACCCCGAATGGGAAAAATGATCCTAGACCGCGTATTTTTAGACTATTTTTATCAAATATTTTACTTAGCATAATTGAAACTTTAGATAACATGTCTTAAGAAGGTAATCAGTGTGCCTTACTTATACACCTATCACTGGTAAGAAAAGGTATACTTTAAAGGTACTACTAAGATCTGCGCAAACTTAGAAGCAGCGCAAGAGCGAGTTAGCAAGTAGACCTGAATGCAGGTTAAGAATCCAGCAATCACTCACTTATTACCACTTTAAATATTTAGGTTTGCTTTGGACTTTATAGTTCTATAATCAGCATCGCGTATCTAAAACTCTGTTGCAGTCATGAATAGGCTGCATAGTAATTTCAGTTTTAACTCACGGCATCCCCTGCTTTTTTACCATATCTGCAGTTGTACTTTCCCTTGTTATAACTACGTCACTGGGTCCCTACGATTTCGCAATTATATGGCTGAGGCGATTTACTGAGCTCAAGTATTTTTTAAGGAAAAATTCGACATCCTATCTATATCCGTCATTTTTCCGCCACTTTTTTGCTGATAAATGCTGGCCTTACCATTATTAATGTACTAGTAGTGTTTTTCCTACTTAACTCAAGTTTTGTTTTCAACGTCTTGTATTTGCGCTGACGACATACAAATAGCTTGATATCCATTCAGCTCACCACGATATTAGTCCTTTTCACATTCCCCAAACAAGTGATGATGTTTCGTATGCATGCCTTCTGCATGTTTTCCGCAGTGCCTTCACTTTGCCTACTGTCGTTATTCTTGCTGACTTCATTTTGAGGCTGCACAAATCTTTTTGGTAATCTTTTTCCTAAATTCTGGCCTTTACTGTGTGTCGTACTTTAACAATTTTGGCCCATCGGAGACGTGTGTATCAATTTGAGGCCTTTTTTTCTCCGAAGGTCCAATTGCACGTTGGGGAAGTGGAAATGCTGGACCTCAATTCTAAATCCCCCAAAATTAGCCTAAAGGTGAGGAATCATTATGCCTAACTTTTGTCACATCATTCCTTAGCACGAGACTTGGGATGCATTGACCGGCAAAGATCTCATTTCCGTTCACCTCAATTACTATTCTTCCTTTATCTTCTCCAAATTCATCGAATCTCTCAACCTCGCCTCCTGTGCTACTCCCTCTGGCATCAGCTGTTCAGATGATCTGGACGTGTTAGATTTGGATGAGGAACTGATTAGGGCCCTCGATCATCACTCCATCATTACTTCACAATTACCTGACGACCACATTCAAACAGCGGACGAGATAATTGAGGAAATTGATCGGCTGATGGTTGGTGAGTCGGTGGAGTCCGATCTGGAGCTCTGCGATCCCCAGGCGAATCCTGAGTTTCGTGCCACTTATGTCTGGAAACCAGTGTCAGGTTTGTTGCTAATTTTGCGTTTCTTGTAAAACTGCTTATGAACAATATCGCAATCTAGCTCCTCATTTTTTTGCCGCCCTAGCAATTTTCCTCGGTGTTTGAAATCGTTGGTTCCATTTCGTAGCACATTCTGCTAATTATTTGAGACTTGATAACTGGAAATTTATAGTTACTTCTCTTTTATTGCCTTAGTGCATTCTCTTGATATTGAGAATTCGTGCTCTTAGTATTCAATTCGTTTGACGAGCTGGTGAAAGTGGCAGCCTTGTTTACGTTGTATCATTTTGGCGCATTCCGACCACTCTGGTCATTTACCGTGTCCTTTTGAAGCGTAATTGCCTTCGATATCCTTGATCCCTACTCCAACTTTTTTCAACTACTTGTTGACGATTTCATTTTTCTGCTGAAGGACATTTTAATGTTTCATGATTTCCTGTTTTCAGTGCTGGAGCAGATGTCTATCGCTCAACTGAACGCCCTGGTTGATGAATTAGACGTCTGCGTTCGTCACTACTCGGCGTGTCTTGTACAGGAGTTGGCTTTTCGTGAAGAAATGGAGTACGAGCAGGAGGTGAAGGACATCTTTTTCACGCGTCTTCACGAGGTACAGAATCGTATGGACGAGTGGGCTAATTGCAATGCTGCAGTGGTGCAGGGGAATGGTAGTGACGATATGGGCCATGAAGATGTAGACTACAACAACTCCGACGATGATGAGAGTAGGGTAGAAGAAAGGAGACGTGGGATGTTTGGAGGTAAGATGTCTTCCAAAATTGTTAAAAACAACTTATAGCGTTTTATTATCAGTTCAACTTAGTGGTGCCTTTTGATGGTGTTAGACAAATCGGTCATTTATTTTGACTTAAGCAAATTATTTGTTTGGGGTTATTTTTGCGATATTTAGTTGTTAATTTCCCTTACGGTGCTTTTTTTCAAGCTAGTTTGAAGGGTATTTGAGTTTCATATTTTAATCACATTGCTAGTCTCAAATGTTTCGCACTAAGTGAATAACTCCCTGTTGATGCAGCACGCTTTTAAATGTGGATTGGGACTTCGATTGCTGGAAGTGCATTAGCTTATAGTGACTGCGCCAGCACTCCAGTAGTCATGCGGTTTGAAGACCACGTTGTGAGTGAACACCTGCATATTATCGGTATTTATTCTATCCACTTTTCAAAAGTAAGCGTTGCTGTCTCAACTTGCTAAAAAACGAGCCCTTTCGGAACTTCTCAGCCATGCCAATAATTAAACCACCACTGTCTACAAGAACTGGACTCTTCATTGTGCTCCATTCATTTTTTGTGGCGGCAAACTTGGGGCTGATTTTCTCATCACTTTTCGTGTTGCATTTCAGTTTCACAATCGTTCAAATTGAAATGGTTTTTTACTCACTCGTAACTCCTTCATTTTGCTATTATTTCATCGTTACTATCAGCAATGAGGTACAAACTCCATTCATCCCGTGAAAGGCATAATCTCTATGCTAAAAATCTGCTTCTGTTCTGTTTTGGACTTTTTGCAGGTTGCTCTGCTGAAATAACTGGGCCAAAGATTATTTGCGGTCCCTATATAACCTTAAAAGTATTTAATCGGAAATGTTTCTAGAAGTTGTCGCCATCACTTCATTGACTTTGTGACTTTATGATTGCACGTCAAGGTTTGTAAATTGTGATCGTTTATTTTGACTGTCCACTGGCTAGAATTCACATTACCGCCTTGTACTGTCTTGGAGCACGCACCATAAAATTCATGGACAGTCCTTACCTCCGTACAATTTTGCGGCGTCTCAACTGGTCATGCGGCCATAGTTTTTGTTTGTGCATCACGTCTTTTTTCCTTTTACTCAAAATACGGTAATTTACAGACTAATTCTGTAATCACCTCTCAACGGTGTGCATAGGCATGAGGGCAGAATTTCATCTTCTCATTTATGTGTTTCTATGGCTTTCTCGTCCCTTCTAACTATCTAAATGAACCACAGTGGATGGCTCAGTTTATAATCCATTTGCCATTCTTAGATGTGTCTATAACGCCATCAAGGGCTAGCCGCAAAATCTCACCTGAGCATCCTCGACTTGATGCCTCCATCAAGTTAATAAAGATTGAGATCACTTAGCTTTACTGTTTGTATTCACTCATTTTTTCTACGTTGGCCTTTTTGCGAACTTCTCAAAGGCGGCTAGATTATTTTGTTTCTCGTGCCATTTAAAATTACCACGCTTACTTCTTAGGGATCCTGATTAAACAATAAAAATGTGTTCATTACGAAATTTGGGGCAACTTACACCTATCATAAGCACATCAAAGGTTTAAAGTTTCTGTTTTCTGTTATTGATATCAAACGAATTTCTGCAAAATTAGGAATTGTCGGTTCATCAAGTCAGCTGACGATAAAAATAATGTTATTTTAGGGGTCGCATAAGCTAAGAACCTTCGAATGGACTTTTCTGAAGTCCTTTTGGTATAGTTGATAAGACCTACTTTCTTTTGCGTTCTTTATTAAGGTGCCAGTTCAGCCGCAGTGGCAAAAGTGATCCTTGCCAACGCCGCATTCGCAGTTCGTCGCCGATGGCGTCGCATGGGTCGCAGTCTGGAAAAGGCACGATCAACATGGCATCATCACGGCCGTCGACGCCGGCACCTTACCGACGAAAATAGCGACAGTGAAGATCGGTACCATCGTCGCCTTCGTGGCTGCACTCAACCCATTGATTCACGCGACATCTCCGTGGGGACGACGCGTGGTGGTGAAGGTGGCAAAATGTGCGTTTCTAACTCTAACCTTGAGTTGGCTCCTGATGGGTTGGCTGGAGCGGGAGACGAGGATGATGAGGAAGAGTGGTCGGTGCGCAGTGAGACGAACTCCACCGTTAATACGCCCACCACCGGTGCTGTTACTAATAGCGCCTCTTCTGTAGGACATTCGCCTCGTCATCATCAGATTTGGTTCACGTCTACTGCCTCTGCTGCTAGGGGGAAACGTAACCCTCAGGAGGACTTAAAGGTGAGATGTTCGATTGCGGTTTTGCAATCGACGCAAGCATCCTTGTATTCGAAGTACAATAGTCAGGTCATAGTGTCAAATATACAATCGAAGTCATCGATTGAATCGAAAAACCTTTGTACTGAAAAGTGATGATCTTATGATTATTCGTCCTGCAGCATGTAACCCTCAATGTTCTCCTACTTTTGCACTTTTCAAAAAAAGATGCTCTGTCTTCTCCAGTTACTAGGCTTCTCTTGCCATCAAATTCTTCTTTTTATGCTGTATGAGTAGATTTGTCTTTCTTTGGCTCACAGTTTCTGAGCACCAAGATCCCCTACCACCGGTCATCAAACTATGGAGGAGCGTGCAACGGACCGACGGTGGGTCATTTGGAGCTCTTCAACGAGTTCCTCTTCTGCATGCTCACCAATAATCCAAATCTCACGCCTCTACTCACTGACTATATCCTAAATGGTACGTTTCCTTGATTTCTTTTAGACCATCGATTTCACTACCCGATTTTGAAGTAGTATTAAGCGTTTCGCTAATGAATAGTTCGCACTTGTATCGACTCACGCCTACCCAATGAAATTAACGACTGAATCGGTAAACCGGATAGTCAGGCAGTGGGCACCGTCTTATCGCTACTGATGGTTTACTTCTGCTGCGTTAGCAGTAGGGCGCAGCGTTGACGTGACCTTAGTTTCTCAACCTTTCAAGAAGTAGACGAACGTAGCAAAAGCAGTTGGGTAGTGCTGTGTGTAAAGTGCGGTCGGTTGATGATCGTCTTGATTGGTTGCTGTTAGCTAATGCTGGCGATTGATTTGTCCTTTAGCATCCCTTTTTTTTACACTCCTCTGGACTGGAAAACGGGAGCGTATGAAGCCCCTAATTTGGTTGTCTCCATTGCCTGGATTCTCTAATTTGCTGTTCTTCGTCCTTTCTTTCATTGGATACACCTTCTAAGGGGTGCTCGTTTAGGCCTTATGCGAATTGGAGTCGCTGTACTGGATGGTTTTACGTGTGTGTAGATCACCAACCGAGATGGAATACAGCGGCTCCACTTTTGTGCTGAATATGTTTTAAAGGTTGATGCGCAGGAGATGATGAAATCTTGTAAAGCAAAACTATGCACTTATGACATACATAGATTTGAGGATGGCACAAAAGTGGCAATGTAGGTAGCATACACTATGAAGCGAATTCGTCCTATTTGGCAGTAGTTGCTTTCACTTCGTAGGTGATTTAGCTGATAACTTCTGTGTAGTAGGCTTTTTACACCTTAATCTCCTTTATATTAGTTACCAAAAGTCCTGTTCCCTCGTTGCCTTCCTGCTGCCGGTTTGGCCTGGCTGTAGCATATCGGTCTTGCCGTGGTAGCATTCGTTATTAAATTGAAGAACATCGGTGAGGTGAATTTGTATTTTCCCCTTTTAGTGTACGCACCCAGTGAGAAGTCGATGCTGCCAAAGCTGGCTATTTAAGGACGTCTCCACTTTACCCTTGCAGTGCATTTCATCTGATGCCGACACCGACGTTGCCATGATAGTCTTCAGAAGTGATGCATTTAAATTATCTTTTTTGGTTTTTTCCCCATTTTTTTGTTCAACATTACCTCGTATCCTTCCTATTCCTCTCTTCCGCTTCCTTTGCTTCAGACCATCATGCATTATCCTCTATATTGCTTCAGTACACTACTTTGATTTCAGCTTTGCGCCTCTGTGACTTGCTCTCTGTGTTGCGTGTGTTGGTTTACTGAAATTAAGCTGCTTGATTTGGTGCGTAAAAGAACGCAGTTATAACAAACACCTTTGAGCCCTTCTTGTAGCAGGCGTCGACGTATTCTGTTTTTGATACATTTTCTCATGATCATGGAAGTTTCCTAAGAGCGATTGACGTTTCGTGGGAAAGAATGCTGTTGAAAGTGTGTACTTTTTTTCTCCTTACTGGACTGATGGTGGAACTGTCTATTGTTGGGGTGATAGGCAGCGTCATTTTGTTGTCTGAATCTGTCCGTTCACTGGAGAAGGTTAAATTTCGATCAAGCAATACTGTTTTAGTTGTTACCAACATCGTCATTGGGTCAGGCGTCATCTCTAATCATCTTCCTGCCCCCAGATTACGCTGTTTATCGCCTTTTTTACTGGCACTGGCTTGCTAGTGCTATGTGCTTGGGCGCTTTTGGGTCGCTTCCACCGCTTAGGTTATTTTAGGGCATTTGCCGCGTGGTCGATGTTCACAGCACGCCAGCATTTCCAGAGTTGTCTTAGGAAGTCTTCTTATGTGAGTTGACTGGTGGAAATCACGCCACTACCACTTTCCTTAGAACTGTCAGCTACTATCACTACCATCGAGTGGGCGGCAAATCGGACGTGCCTTTAATTGCCCCATTATTCGACGCAGTTTTCATGCAACTTTTCTAGAGACACTGCTGAAATTGTAGTGGT